GTATTTTAATATATTTAGAGGGAATTCTCAGTTCTGTTGAAGTATGGGAGCTGAATTAGTGACTGGTACATGAATAAAAAAACTGGGCAATCGTGTGCTACAGAAAAACCAAAACACGAACAAGAAAGGAAGTGCAATTATCACACATTACATAGCTGAGCTAAGAATGAAAAAGCTGAGTTCTCAAGCTGAAAATGGTAATAAAATGGAAGGAGGGGAAAAGTCTACGTGTGGAAAGGGGGCTGGGAACCCAAGGAAACAGGAATTGATGTGCAGGAAGGAGAGTTAATTATGACTTATTTTCCATTTTAGGAAGAGAACAGTTGATATCTAAATCTGGAAAATCAAGAAATAACAAAACAAGCATGTTATTTAGAAACATGGACAGAGTTAAGAGCATTGGTCTTTGGGGAGTGGGAATCAGGTGCAGGATAGACATGGGATGTACTATGGTGCATTAAAACCTAGTACTTCTATAAAAGTTTTAAAACAATGTGTACATGTGTTGGGGCGCCTGGCTGGCTCAGTCAGTGGAGCATGTGACTCCTGATCTCAGGGTTATAAGTTTGAGCCCCACACTGGGTGTAGAGATTACTTAAAAATAAAATCTTTAAAAACACCCAGAAACAAAACTATATACATGTGTTACTTTGACATAAAGAAAATGCAAAGAGGAAGATAAAAATCAGCGTGGGGTTGGACCTCACCCACAAGACTAAAACTGAAAGAGTTAAATTATGTTACATCGCTTTCAAAAACATAAAACAATTTCTCAGGCTTCTTCTCTTTATTCCCTATTCCTTCACTTACTCTGTATACAATAGGCAAACTTGTTGGGCAATTTCTGCCACAACTAAAAAGGGGAAATGAAACAGAGAGAAAAAATGAACTCAGTGGCAGCAAAAACATTTGCCTCAATTACTGAAGAAAACATTTTGACAGTTTTTAACAGTGATTAATAGTCATTCAGAAAAAAAGCACTTATGGAAAGAACTCAAATACATGGAGGCTAAAGAGCATCCTACTGAAGAATGAATGGGTCAACCAGGAAATTAAAGAAGAATTAAAAAAATT